ATAATAATAGTAACAATGATAATAGTCGATAATAAATGACGGTGATAATGTTATCTAGTTGTATTATAGCAAGAACAACAAGAGCAGCAACAGTGATTACTACTTCTAGCACAAATACTGCTATGATTGCCACTACTTATATCACAAAATGCAAAAACTCGGCATCAGACGCGTTAGATCAGCAAAGTTTCGTAAAAATCAAAGATAGGTTCAGACCAAAAATTATGAAAAACACGATTACCTGCTTGCCGCTCCATAGCATCCTTGGTTTAAGCATTGCTGGTGGAGGAATGATAAGTCGCTGCGTGGTTTCGGCGAAAGCGGACAGTACCAAATGCATGAAATCTTCTTTGCAGAAAAATCTCCCACGTATTGTCAATAGCACTCCAGATACCACATGATCCTGGATAAGACCCAGTAATGGTGTCCCGTCCTTTGGTACCAAAAAATTCGATCCAACATTCGCTAGAAGAAAAAAATCTGGTTAAAAAAGGCAACCTAAATAATGAAAATTAAGTACTCAAAGGTCGGAAAAAAACTTCTTTAAAAATGTTTATTGAACAAAATGGAATTCTTGGAAAAATCCGAATCAAAAGTCATACCAATTTGTTTCAGAATTCGAACCAAAAGTAAATGGATTCCAAATTCTTCTTATCATCATAGACTATATCAAATTTCAAAAAAGGATTGTCAGCAAACCGTTGAATTCAAATTTTTTGGCGCATGAAAGAAACAGAAAAAAAAAAAAATCAAAAATTTTGCTTACGAGAAAACGACTGAAACGAAAAGTAGAAAGGGAAGGATGCAGGGGAACACGTAACTCAAATAATAAGAAAGCTGAACGAAAAGGGGCTAAGAATTTGCCAATAGTATAAAGTAAAGCCAACAAGGCAAGAAATTTAACAGAGGGGTGCTAAATTCTGCAGAACTTCAAATACATGGAGAAAAAAAAAAATTGGCCTGGTATATAGCAGAGATGGCATAAAGCGCATGCAACTGTGGAAAAAGTGTAATTTTAGAAGGTTAGTACCCTCCGTTTATGGAATTTTGGCAGGGCGCACAATTAAAACCCTATCACGACCTTAAAAATTAATATGCTAGACAAGTGGCGTGCCCTCTGTGTGTGTGTGTGTGTGTGTATCGAAACTTCTAGTTATATATACGTATCGATAATTACATGCATTAACCAATGCTATACAACGTAAAGTAAGATAAGGACAAAAATACAGAAAAGCCGAAGCTTCCCAGAAGAGGATTAAGTCGCACGGAGTGGCTCAGGATCCCAGAAATGGGGAGAAGTGCTTTTATACCCCAATGGTCAGAAATCACTAAGACTACAAAACTTTAACAAAGTAGGGTGTCCAAAGGTTGAACCGGGGACAGGGGTATTGCATTATAATGACGCAATTGCTCTTTACGCCACTTTTAACAAACAAACCATAATCATTATTTGACATATTATGTGAGAGCCCATTTCGGGATAAAATGTGCGACTAAAGCTCTGCTAAAAAACTGTTCTTGAATTTATATTTTGAAGATAAGCAATAAAAAAAAACGAAGATGCGCACCGATTTCAGCAAGTTCAGTCTGCGCAATTCGATTTTGCACAAAATGTCCATTCATTTCGTCACCATCAAAATCCGCATTGTAGGCTTTACAGGGCGCATAATTGAGGCGCAATGCTCGCTGTCCTTTGAGTACACGAGTTCGATGTCCCATCATCGATGGCTTATGCAGCGATGGTTGCCGATTCATCAACATCAAATCACCACGGTCCAAATGTCTTAGTACCTTCAAAAACAATTTTTCCGTTTTTTTCCCTTAAAAATTTTATCACAGTCGGGGGTTTCCCCATAATTCTATTACTTTTTGAAGACAAAAAAGTCTTCTAAGACATCTGCCCATACTACTTTGCTACAATTTTCTTCAAAACTACTCGATTAAGTTTCTTCTGCATTTTTTCTTCTTATGGTCAACCCCAGCTATTCTACCCCACTTTCTACTCCTACAAATTTCCAAACAAGGTACTTTATCCCGGGTACAAAAGTGACGATTTTCAACGTACTGGTAGAATCCCCTGAAACTCCCTTGACGCCAAAAAGACACTGCGTTTCATCCAGTCCAGTTAAGCTTGGACTTACGAAGAAATGTCAGCCTGACCAGCAGTTGGTAATGCAGTAAAGGTCATGCAGATACAGAGAAAACGTAAAATGTAAAATCAATCTCGTCATGAGCAGAGTTACACGAAAAAAAAACCCCAACTGATCAAAGTACCGAAATTAAGCTCTAAAACGCTAGCCGATTCTGTTAGTTAAGAGGGGAAAACACGTAAAAATTACCTGAAATGGATATGGTAGCCGCGAGCTATCGCCCGGCTGAAGTCGCTTTGCAGCTGCATTCCGCTCATTGCATTTTTGTTTCGATAAAATCTGTGTAAATCCACCAGGTTTCTGGATGAAATTGGCACTGAAAAAATTACAAAGTAATTTTGAAAATGAAGCTTCTTTAAAAAAAAAAATATATGCAAATTTCTTGGCTGGAAAGCGATCTCAGAAGGGATAAAGAGCTGAAACTTTGCAGTGATATTTCCTGTGCATGTGTTCGCTTTGCGTCACATAAAAATCACTAAGCACAGTGAGCTAGTTGCTCTGTTGCCATCGTAAAAGTAGTATGTTAGTGAGCGACGTCAGTAAAAGGATAAAACCACTTGGACGGTTTTCGAAAATACTGAAATTCAAAAAAAAGGATACCAGAATGGTATCCCAAAAAGGGATCCATCATTATTTCCTTGTCCTTGCATCACCCCCTCCACTCGCTGTTCTCGCCCCTCCTCCTTCCCCCGCACCCGTCCTGGATATCCATCTTCTCCAAGCGGTGATATTGTGCTGCATTATACAG